TTAGTTAAATGATAATCCAGTTTTTAAACTTCACTGTTCTCTGTTGGCGTACAAAAAGTCCCCTCTCCTTTTCTTCCCTTGCACTAACTTTTTAAAAATGGGTTATCATTTGGGAATCGATGAAATAGAAAACTTATTTTTTATGTCTAGTATATGAACAGGAAGAGAAAGTGGGATACTGGATTAGGAAGGCAATTTAACATTTTGTTTCTTTTTTTTAACTGGCTGATTATAATGTGTTAATTTTTTTAATACATTTTTGTTTTGTTAGAAATAATGTTTGAAAAAAAATCTAGAATATGTTTGGGGTTCATTACCCTCGTCAGTTCCACAAAGCACAAAAAACAGTGAAGCCTAATGCATACTGTTTACTCCAGGATAGAACTTCTACCTTGACTTCTTCCATCTTTTCTACTCTTCTGCCTGTTTCTGTTATGTCTATTCAGTCCTAAACCCCCAGTTTCCTGCTTTAGCTTTTTGTGTTCTATTCTGTAGCCCCAAAATACAAGTTAACACTGATTCCCAGAAGGAACCAAACACTCTCCTCACAAGCCCAAACCAGAGTTCCCCAAGTGTCAGAAACTTGCACCTCCTCCGCTCTCCTGCTGTCCTAATCCCCTCCTGTCTCTGACCACACACCTCAGCCAACCTTGTTATGTCTGCTGGAGGCTGAGAGTAGGGAGGAGGAGAAGCTATCTGCCCCTGTCCAGGTGGCCAGCTGTTTTCCCACCCTTTCCATTTGTTTTGCTGTTTGTAGAGGGTTTTAATCTTTTATAAGTGTTGATTTTGCTTGCCAGCTCTGCAACTTTTCCTTATCCGACTTCCCGTCTTCTTCCTTCATCACGTGTACTTGATGTCCACGCGAACGCAGCCTCCTGAGCTGGTTGAAGTGAACAGCTGGTTGATATGAGGCCAACAAATCCCTAGATTTGTTGTTTTTAATTAACTCACAAGGTTTAAGTGTTCATTGGTTGGTTGATAGTGGTGGAAATAATAACAGCAGCAGCAGCTAGCATTTATGGAGAGCCCACCGTGTGCCAAGCACTGTGATATCCTCACAAGACAGGTGGTATTACTCTCAATTTACAGAAAAAGGAATCCAGACCCAGGTTATTGTTCTTGACTTGTAATTTTGTCATATTCACTCACTATTTCACTAATTCTGAGATGATTTAGTTTTCACATGTAAGCGTAAAGCAGTTTTTCAAGACTTCATTTTAAAGGGATAAATATTAATATTATTCAGTCAAAAACTGAAGTAGAAAATTTCTGTAGTTTTTGAGAATTGGTGGAGAATACAAACAAACCAATAATTTTCTATAGCCATATTCCTGTTTATTTTTCACTTCTGATTTGTTTTCCTTTCCACGACAATGAATATTATTGAGGATATTCTAAGTGTATGGCACTAGGTTAACATTTATTTTATTAGGAGCACATGTGTAAAAATAGCTGTCTTTTCAGTTTAAAAAAGGGTTGACTGAATTATGGTGTATACATTATTCTCAGGATACGACACAATGAGTATTATATGTTTTTTACTTTTTAAGGACAACCCCCAGCCCGCCTCTGATTCGTAGTGTCATCCCAGTGGTAGAATATTTGGTGGAACTGAGGCCTGTTTTGATCTGCTGGATCATTGGTCATGACTTTGTGGTGTGAATAAACTTTATAGAAAACCTAGTTTGTATTCAGGGACTAGGCGACTTACTATATAGGATTCTTTGGAAATTCCGCTTGTCTCCCTACTTTGAAGGAAATTCAGAAAGGAAAATGGGAAGCTGGAAAACTGAAAGCTGTCCTCCTCAGGACAGATGGATGAAGCAAAATGACTTTTTCTGTTAGACTGAGCTTTTGTGTAAAGCTGTAGCCCCTCAGGGGAAAGATATCAGCTTGAGTAATTAACTCATGATTATGCAAAGATCAATTTACCTAGCCTCTTTGTTTCTCCTCTTTCTTTTTATTGCCTTGGGCTACCTCATTTCTTATTACCATCTTCACTGTATTAGGGCTGGGGGTTAGGAAAGTGGCAGAGATAATAATAGGAGGCAAACTTATTTTTGCCCATTTTACTTTCATGAACAATTTTGTTGAAAGAGAAAAGAAATTAAGCCAGTTTATTTAGGCAATAGTTGTTTTCTCTTCAGGTTAGATATACAAGAATTTTGCAGAAGACTTCCTAAGTATAGTTATTTCAGGAGCCATCTGGGTTGAGTAAATCAAATATAGTTGTAATAAATCATAATAATTTGCGTTTATAGCATATGAAACCCTTTCTCATATATTCACACATGATTCTTACAATAGTGCCTGGTATGTAGCAAGGGTTTATTAAATATTTGTCAAATATTGGATGGATATATAAGAATTCTGTGAGATAAGTAGGGTTGATATTTATCAACACTTTTAAAATGAGAAAAAGTGAGATCTGGTTTTAATTTTTAGCTCAAATCATACCAATATTAAGTTCTTTTTTCTGCCACAAACCTCTTTAAGGAGAAAGTGCTATGAAATGTATTTTCAGAGAGCTTTAACTTTACCACAGCAAGGATTTTTTTTTTTAATGAAGCAAAAATTCTAAAAAGTTTTCTGTGCTGGTAAGCTTCTAGGGTCTCTTCCAGCTTTGTATTCCGTTAGAGTATCTCCTGACTTCTCTTACGCATTCATTAGTTTTGTGCAGAGCCTCCAAATTGAATGCCTCCAAATTGAATGCTACAAAAAAGGCCATGCTAGAAAGTAATGCTTTGAGGAGCCCAGAAATTACTGTAAGAAGGTAGTGTTAATATTTTATCCCCCACTCTGGTTTTTTCCTTTCTCTTAAATATTCTAATTTACCTTTCATTCTATGGTACTGACAAGAAAGTGCTTATTGTAACTGTATGCTTTAATTTTAAAAATCATTTTTATTTGAAAGATAGAAATTAGTAGAATTTCAGTTCATCCAACAAATATTAATTGATCACTTCTACTGTGTGCTGGGCACTACTTGAGGTTCTGGGAGTCAGCAGTGAAAAAACAGACAAAATCCTTTATCTTAGAAACATTGCATTATAATGGGAGAGCCACAATCAACACAGCAACACAGCAAATAGGGAAGTTTTATATCAAAGGTGATAAGGGTTATGGGTAAGGGAGAGCAGGGCAGGGAGATGAGCAGTGCTGAGGCATTTACCATCTCTTGCGCCAAGCTTTGTTGTTTTCCATAGCTCGTATATAATCATCTGACATACTATATTTACTTCCTTTTGTTTATCATCTCCCCTCCTCCCTAGCTCCCCATTGCATATAAACTCCGTGAGGGCAAGGATATTTTTTATCTGTTTTGTTCACTGTTGTATTCCCAGGGGACAGAACAGTGCCTGGAATACAATAGATGCACAGAAGATATTTGTTAGATGAATGAATTGAATGCATTTCATATAGTGTGGTCAGGGTAGGCTTCACTGACATCTGAGTAGAGATGAGACAAGAGAGGGAGTATGTCATGTGGTTGTCTCCAGGAACATTGTTCCAGGCAGAAGGGCCAGTGTGGCTGGAGCAGAGTGAACAAAGGGGGAGGAGTAATCAGGCTCCAGGTCATGGGAGGGCTTTGTAGGCCATTGTAAGGATAAGGAAGATAAGCAGTTGTGGGGTTTGAGTGATGGAGTGACATCACTGTAGTTGCTCTGCTGGAAATAGACCAAAGGAGGGTAAAGGTAGAAGCATGAAAACAAGATCAGCAGCCACTGCAAAATCTAGACAAGAGATGATAGTGGCTCGGGCCAGGGTGGTAGCGATGGAGGTGATGTAAAGGGGTCAAATTTTGGGTTTGTGTTATTTTGAAGGTAAGGCAAAGAGGTTTTGCTAATGGGTTGGATGTGAGGGAAAGAAAGGTCTTTAAGTTGCAACACTAGGGATGGAATTGAGCTGTAGAAGACATAGAATCAACAGGTTCAAGGGGAGGAACAGTGTTCAATTTGGCTGTGTTGTAATGCCTGTCAGATATCCAAGTAGAACTGTCAAGTAGGTGGTGGATGGGTTCCAGTCTGGAAATACAAATGTGGGAGGTGTGAGCATAGAGATGGTACTGCAAGTCTGGATACTAGGTGAGATCATCTAGGGAACAAGTGTGGAAAAAGAAGGGATCTGAGGACTGAGCCCTTGGGGATTTCAGTGTTTCGTGTTCAAAGATAGGAGGAAGAACCAGCAAAGGAAATTGAGAAAGATTGATAAGTGAGGTAAAAGGGCAACCAGTGAGTATTCTCTGGAAACCAAGAGGGAGAAAAAGTGTTTCAGTAGGAGGAAGTGATCACCTTTGTCCTTGCTGATAGATTACATGCTAAGATGAGGACTGAGAATGGAGCCTGCTCTGAGCAACTTAGAGGTGACCTTGACAAACAGCTTTGCAAAGTAGTAGGCGGCAGAAGCCATTTGCTTGAAATGGGTTCAAGAGAGAAAAAGAATTCTAGACAGCAAATATAGAAAAATTGATAATACAGGAGAGATGGGGGCAGTTTTGAGAGCAGTGTCCTTGAGAAGCAAGATCATATCCAAAATTGAAGAGAGGAGTTAGAGTGTAAAGTAATTAAATAACGAATAGTAAATAAATAACCAATAGATGGTTATACTTATTTACTAATCGTTTATCACAGGAAGATTTAGATTGGATTGATTTATGATTTTAACTAGTCAGGCACTGTGGTGTTCTCTAGCAGGATAATGGTAGATGGGTAACCTCATTTTTCCAAAATTCACTTGGACAGAGCATGTAATTAGTAGTCTGGCTTTCTTTTGGAGAGGTAAAGGAGAATCTTTTTTGCAACTTACAAATATACTTGTTTCTAAAATAAAATTACTGGCACTTGATGATGAAAAATGAATTATTTCCCAGAGGTAGAAGAGAAAAATAATTAATTCTGTTAAAAAAAAAATGAGATTTTTTTCTACAGCTTTTCTGAAATATATAGTCTATTGTTGGCTTGTTTGATTGTCTAATTTTTTTGTTTGTTTTAAATTTTCAGGCTGGAGTGAGACAACTTTATGTACAGATTGACTTTGCGGCCATGTAATGAATGAAAAGAAGCTATACTTTTTTGGGGACCTAAGTTTTCTGGTACTGTACAATCCCAAACATTGTACCTAGCTTATTAAAAGAGAGAAATCGTCACTACAGCTCCCAAGCACCAACTAGACCTAGTAGAGTCAGCCGTTTGTGCTCTGCAGGGAGTTCACAGCTAAGGGATCAGAATTCAGAGGATCTCTCCTGGACTTTTGGTCTTGTCTTTTGTGCTCTTCCTTCCAAACTATTTTGATTTCTGAGGCTTCTAGTTTTGTTCCGGGGTGGTGTTTTTCGTTTATTTGTTTCTTTTTTTTTCATTTCCAATGCCCTCACTCCTACCCCTCATCCTAGCCAGTAAGAAATTCAGATTGTGGGCCTCCCGTCATCTGGAATGTTTTCACTGAAGCTGCTGGAAACCACTCTTTCATTCCCACAAAACCAGTGTTATTTAAAAAAAAAAAGAAATGGAAATCTGTTTTGTATGTAATGTCACAATTGTTGACGTTCTTCAGTATAATCATATGTTTGTAAAATTGTTTGTACCTTGCAAACTTATGAACCAAACCATATTGGGTTTTCAAAGTGCCTTTGTATCAGAAAATGTATTTGCCAGCATAGAAACATACTCTCAAAGGTCATGTATGTTTTTTTTTAATGGGTATTCTTTAATCTGTACAAAATAAGACTCTTTGTTAGTCATGTATACAGATTTTGTCTTTTTGTGTACTTCCCAGCATAGGTTTAGATATATGAAAATTTTCCTTTTATTGCTTTATCTCATCAAAAAATAAAAGGTGTTATTTTGCTTTTTAAATCAAATTCAATTATCACATTAAATTATTTTGTGGGCTATGTTTTCAAAACTTCGCAAATGTATCTGTTATATAGACGAATGTTTTGATTTACTTGAAACATCTGCTAAGTTCCAAATTTCTATAAAAGCTACTGTGTTGTCTATGATAAACTTTCCTGTATCTTCCTTGCCATTTTTATGAATTTTATTAATGAAAGAAACAGGCAATGTAGAATGAAGGCAGAAATGCTTGTAACAATATTATTTTGCATTTTTATTCTTTAAATGCCACCTCATACAATTTGCTTTCCTGTGCAAGCATTACATAAATACAATTGCCTTCAGAAATCCTAGAGCAGCATTTTCTTGAGTTTGAACTATTGAAGGTACGGAGCAAATGTAGTAAGATAGAAGTCTTCCTAACACAGGTATCTTGGAAGTTAATAAATGAGTTGATTTCTAGGTTCTTGTGTATTTGAAAAATAAAATTGCAATTTGAGATAAGTGCTTAAACACTCAAATATTCTTTGTGTTTTATGAAGAAATATCGATCTGGATAGGCATTTTCCCATTGTACTTTATTTCATCACAATGTATATTCCCTTTTAAGTTTAAAAAATTGAAATTGTTGGGGAGAAAACCCTGCAGGATGAAAACGGTTGTTTCAGATGTAGATCAAAAATAAGCATCTTTTCACTGATGTGGCAGAAATTGCTGTTGATTTTGTCTAAGTTTTAGAGTGTCTTTTTCTCTATTTCTGACCTACAATTAGTGAACTATACTGTATTAGGAAAAGTAGACTGCTTGCTTCATGCTTTTCTGAACTGCTGCAGATTGCCATGAACTGTCGACAGTCTCCTTTTTTAAGTAGTATTTTCAAAACGTTTTTTCTCACTACTAGGCAATTCTAAAGCTAAGAATTCCTGCAGTAGAATGTGTTCAACTGAAACAATTGTTGAGATGTTTTAGGAGGGAAAGTATAAAAGAAAATGATAATGGTACTGCTCTTTCGTGATAAGTGTAAGTAGTCATTTGGAAGTTTGCATCCACTACCAAGCCTGATGGAAGCCTGAGACAGTCTGTGAGTTTTGCCTATTATGGAAAATAACAGATCTAGATGAAGGCAGGAACTTTAGATGTGTGCCTTTAAAAGTTAATTATGTGTAATTGTACTGATATTTCACATACGGAGATAATATTTGCACTGGCTTATAAAATTTCCCAGTGCATTTTGAAGATCGAATTTTGGCTTTCACTGAAGTTTTTGTCAAAATATGCATCACGTTATTTAACTGTATTCTCAATACACTAATGTATATGTTTTTTCTTTGATAAGGCAGAGCATAGAGTATTAGACCAATATGAAACTCTACTTTTGCACCTGTTATGAGAGATTGCCTGGTCATATCATTTAGCAGATTGGCATTGACATTTATGGTTTAATTAAATGTCCTTAAACCTGTGTGTGCAGCAGTAAAAAGTTAGTATGAGAAAGCAACTTTTTTCTCTTAGGAAATACTTTGTCTTATCAGTGTTGTTGGCACTGATGTTTGGCCAAATTAGATAATTTCACTGAGAAATACTACCTGGTTATTGTTATAAAATAAATTTAGGATGTCCCTATTGTTGGGCTGACTCTCGGGGGAAAACAATCGCTAAGTATCTGAGTATAAATTTGCTAATATTTTAAAAACCAAAATATTCTCTAGAGAACAAATTTGTATTTCTCAAAGTTTACCTTGCCAAGTAAACTTCTCCAAACAGAAATATACCTATACTAGTTTTGTGTTTTTAAATCTAGATTTTATTAATCAAGATGAAGGGCTTAACTTATGTACGACTTCTTTATTTTGCTGACTCCCTGCACCTTTGTGAAGGACAGTATCTCGTTTATCTGTCGCTCAGTGTTCCTCACCCTGGCATTCCCACACCGGCTTCTGCAGAGGCATAGGAAAGTAGGAACAGATGTTATTGGCGTTGTGATTTCCCTTGTATCCGGAATGCTTCAGCATTCTTCAAAGCCTCCGCATATACACCAGTAACCAAAATACTGTGACTTTTGTGCACCTTTGCAAAGCAGCCAAATCATTGACTCCAAATGCAGTTGGTTGATCAGAGTTCTATAATGTTTTTTCCTACTATGGAATAATCAGTTTTATAGAGATTATTAATATGGTAGCATCCTCTTATACGATGCTGGGATTTAAGAACAAAAATATTGCATTGCTTAACATGGAATTTTACATCTAAGGGGATTGTCCTTAGAAGCAGTCTTGTTCTTTCTTTTTTTTTTTTTTTTTTGTGAGGAAGATCAGCCCTGAGCTAACATGCATGCTAATCCTCCTCTTTTTGCTGAGGAAGACTAGCCCTGGGCTAACATCTGTGCCCATCTTCCTCCACTTTATGTGGGATGCCACCACAGCATAGCCTGACAAGCGGTGCGTCAGTGCGCGCCCGGGATCCAAACCCCGGCGGCCAGCAGCGGAGCGCGTGCACTTAACCGCTATGCCATGGGGCTGGCCCCCCAGAAGCAGTCTTGTTCTACCTCTCATTTTACAGATGAGAAAATTGAAACCCAGAAAAGCTGCCATTTATTCAGGGTCACAGAGATAATTAGTGGCAAAGCCAAGACTAGCATCCGGGTCTTCTGACTCCAAGTCAAGAGTGTTTTCTACTCTACTGTGCTGCCTCTCAAGTGTAATATTTGCCTTTCTGTAAATGCAACAAAAAGCATTTGTAAATAAAGAACATCTGACCTCCATTTTTGGTACATTAAGGCACTTTATAAATGGAGTTTTATTGTCTTATTTTTCATATCTAATTTTAGAATATGATTTCCATAGTCTTTATGGAAGATATAATTAATTTTTTTACCCTTTTTTACTTTTTTACTCTTGTGAAAACAGTTCCTGATTTTTAAAAAAATGATGACATCTGTGCATTGGATACTTTTAACTCGTGAGTGAATTTTTCTGTTAATTGCCAAGGCTAAATCCAGTTTAAGGATTGCTTAGTTTCTTTCTTTTGTTTATATTCTATGAACTGGTACATTTTAGAAACCAGGCTAATTCACAGGTCACACCATTTCAGTCTTGCTACTTTAATTTTCAGTCACTGGAGAGCTTTTGCATTTTTAACATTATTCTCAGAGCCGCACAAAATTGGGCATTAAATGTTGTATAGAACAAAACAAATCTTTTAATTCAATAGGGGAAGTCTTATCAGAATCCCACATGCTAAACTGCTACTTTCTACTCTTTATAAAAGCACTACCTTGAGAAAGTTAACCTTTTTTTTCTTTCTGTCACCATCTTTGAAACAAAATTATTTTCCAATTCATAAGAACTTTGGCAAAAAGGAAATTATTTAATTCTTTGAAGAACATGCATTAAAAGTTTTATTAACGGAAGAAGATTGTTTCAAGACATGATCCCCCAGAAGCATTAGTGAACCAGATCTCTGCCACAGAATCAAGACAGACTTAAATACAAAGAAAATTTATGTAGCAAAAAACTATTTGCAGAGAAGTATGGTTCTAAAGGCCAAATGGATGTTAGTCTTTTTGATGAGGGCATCTTTGGTTTATGTTTCACCATTTCCTAACTACAAATTATAGAGGAAAAAAGGATGGGATTTGACCTTTATTTAGTATTTACGTGTCAGGCTCTTTGTGTGGCCTTTTTCATGCTATCACATTTAAAATCCTCACATTTATATAAAGAAAGACTTTTGTATGATTTTATGATTGACAGAGCATTTTCAAGTGTATTTTCTCTTCTGATTCTCCTAACATCCTTGAGAGGAAGGAATTCTTAACCCCATTTTACAAATGAGGAAGCTGTTGCAGAGAATTGAAATGACTCGCCTGGAGGATAGCCAATGGGAGAGCACTGACTCAATCCAGTGCTTTTTCTGACGACAGCTCTGTTTTATGTATGTCATTCTACAATGATTTAAAGATCCAAGAAGTTTTGGCAGATCTAAACAGACTCTTCTGTAAGATCAGTGAACAATCACCATGACAAAATTGATAGACGGGAATAGTTGTTACATATACATTGTTTAGGCTCATTCCTTCTTTCGTAGCTCTCTTATGCTTACTTCCTACCTCTGCCATTGAACTTAATCTGTGCAGGCTAAAAAGAGCATCAGAACTCTTAAGCACTTTTAAGACCTTTTTTTTAAAAAAAAAAAAAAAAAGTTAAAAGTTTTGACACTCACAAAGTAAGCTGCTTAAAAGGGACTGGCTCAAAAGATAGTCAGTACCAGTGTGAGTAAAGAGAAACTGAACTCCTGGCCAAGAGACGTTAACTTAGTTATTAGGGAATTGTGTTCCAAGAAGTACAAATAATTTTGTGCTGAATGAGAGGGATACATAGGATTTGACTTACAGCATTACACTTTACAGACATCTTTTCAAAGGGAAGAATTCTATTTCATAATTAGTTGTAATCTATGCTTAAATTTAATAATAATATATAACTTTGAACACTTCCCACAGCTTTGAAAATTTAGTATTTGTAATTTTGATCATGATGTTGGAAAGTCTGTGAAAAAGAAGAATGTCTTTGTCTCATCCATCCTATTATTCCCAAACTTAGCATGAATTTACACTTAAATGCTCAGTAAATGTTTGGTTAACTAATGAGTAAATATTGTTGATAGTAGTGGATACAAAAGTAAGGGTCTGGGACAGGTAAAACCAATAATTTACTGTCTATTACAGAAGACATCTCAGCTTCTCTTTGGCATTTTTGCACAAATAAGTGACTTTGTATTCACTTTGGCCATTTTTTTTCAAGTAGCCCTGTGAGCTACTCATTCATTTTAATACCTGAACAATGGAAGTATAGGGATGTTATCTATTTTGCATGGTTGTTCAACAAGAATTTGGCAGAACTAGGATTGTGGAACCTGGGTCACTTGAATTTTTCTATTTGGTATAGCCAAATGAGAAACCACATTGTCCCCTTGGTTTTATGAAAAATTGCCGTATTCATATTACTTTAAGGACCTGTGTATAACATGTCTTCTGTTTCATTTATCCTCAGATGTATTATCATCCAAAATTCTTTCAGAGGTATATCTTGAAGGTGCTTCTATAAAAACAACACAACACATATTCATTAAGTGATTTAAATATTCCTAGGATAGTTATCTTTTTTCTCTTTTTCCCCTCTAAATACTAAATTTTAGTAGAGCTCCTCTATATTTCTTCACTTACTTTTCATTGTTGCTGCCACTGTAAAACCTCTCCTTTTTACTAGAGGAAAAAAACCTTTATTTTGAATTTTAGCATTAGAATTTTATGTATCACATATCATGAATCAATTAGGTTCAGTGAAGAGTCTACTTCGAACTAGACGTATTCTGTCAAGAGTCTGCCAGATAATCCCATTGCTTCCTCTAATAGCAGCAGATTCAGTGATATTTCTGCCCAAGTGATATTTTGCCCCAACTTTGTGAGTTTGGTCAATAAAGAAAATGAGTCTTTATGTCAGAAATACTGTGAATGAAAAATTGCCAAATCCCTTTTTATTTTATTCTAAACATCCCTACATGTCTCGAATGGTTTCTAAACATATGGCCAAGTTTGAATTTGGATTTGATTCCTTTGGTGAAGATTATGTCATCAAAACATTTCTAAACACATGTTTGAGTACAAGGCTAGGTTGGAATATCAAATTTCAAAGACTATGTTGTAATTTTGTTTGAATATGCTAAAGTGAGCAATTATGATTTTCCTAAGTACAAGTCCATAATGTATATTTCATTTTTTCTACTTGAAGACTTTCATGTATATATTTTGTTTAACCACAGATGTATTTAAAAAGAATAATAATTGTATCAAAATTCTACCAATAAAATTTCTCTTTAAAAACCTTGACCTGAATTGTGTCTATCAGTTTGATGAACTGAAAAGAACACTGTGAACCTAACAGTTACTGGAATAGATTTTAGATGACTTAAGGAATGAAAGGGAAAGAAGAATGATTCTCAGGACCGGGAAATAGCAAAACTCATCAGGAGAGAGGAGGTGCTAGGAGACTGGAAATGTCTTAACATTGTGAAAATCTTCATTGTGGCGCTTATTCATTATTTTACCTGATAAACATCTCTCAAAGCATTTATTTCCAGATATTTCCATTAACCCCAAATTGTTCTCTCACCTCATTCTCTGTGGATGATCAGGGTTTAGAGGAATGAAGACTGAAAACATCTCACATGAG